AGAGACAGGCCAAAGCAGAACAGGAAATTACCATGCACCTCCCTTTTCCTTCCCGAATCTTTTCCTCCTGCAGTTCCCCACTCTTCCCTTTTGGCATGTATAGGAATCAGTTTCCTTTGATACCTTCTGAGTCTCTAGCTCAGAGAGGGACCTTGTTCCAAGTTTTTTGGACCTAGAATGTTCTAGTACCTAGAATGTTGCCATGTAGAATATAATTGCCCCTGGGAACAAAGAACTTATCTAGATAGAGCTTGAACCAAACGCAGTGTTTCAGTATACATATCTCATACTATCTTCACATAGTCAAGGTGAACTATAAACCATTTCTACCTAATTAGTTGTCCAACTAATAAGATACTTCTTGGTGTCTGGAAGGTGTTTTTTTAAGTATACATACGTGTGTGTGTGTGTGTGTGTGTGTGTGTGTGTGTGTATACGTATGTACATTACTTTGTTTAAAGTAGGATGTAGGCCCAACATGGGGCCCGAATTTGTGACCTTGAAATCAACAGTCACATGCTCTACCACAGAGCCAGCCAGGCGCCCCTGTAATAATATATTTTTTGAGGACACTTTTAAGCACTAGATTAGGCCATTTATGCTTATTAATGACAAATGTCCTTTCTAGTATGAAATATGGTGCAAAACTATTTTTTTTTTTTTTTTAAATCCTTGGGAGACTAATACCCTCTTCTTCACTGCTGTACTCATTAACTAGGTATTAGAGCTGATTCTGTATTTTGGAAGCTGATGATTTAGACCATGACAAAAATGAATTAAAATCCATCCATTTTAATTTAATCCTAGAAAACTGTTCGATAGTGAACACTTTTAGAGACAATCACCACATGTTCTATGAAGTATACGTAGCTTTCAGGAAAACATCTGTTCTATTTTGGAGGTTCACATATCTACACAAGTTTACTGACGTTTATGTCATAACTACATTTACATATTACATAATACATTGACCAGCCAAAAGAGAAAAATAAATATATATTTTTAAGATTATTTATTTATTTGACAGAGAGAGAGAGAGAGATCACCGTAGGCAGAGAGGCAGGCAGAGAGATAGAGGGTAGCAGGCTTCCTGCTGAGCAGAGAGCCTGATGCGGGACTCGATCCCAGGACCCTGGGATCATGACCTGAGCTGAAGGCAGAGGCTTAACCCACTGAGCCACTCAGGCGCCCCGAGAAAAAGATATTTCTGATATTAAACAGTACGAATCAAGGCAACTAAATTATTAAATAGTAATTCTCACAAAGAGATATGAAAATACTCAGTCTCTTTCTATATTGTTCTATTTGATGGTTTCTATGGCTGTAAGCTGCCACAAAGTTTCTCTCTCACAGTATTAGCCATTCAACTGGCTTCTGAAACAAAAGTTCCTGTTTTCCCCGTGAGTACTAGCTCTAAACACAAACAAGAAAACAACTATAATTGGAAAAGGGATGTTTCATGGTCTTAATTTCTCACTTGTGGAAACATGTTTGAGTTTGACTGTTTTATTCCCTCTGATAGGAATTTACAAGCTTAATAAATAATATCTGAATTACAAGCTTAATAATTAATATCTGAATTGTATGGTCCTAAACCCAAGGATGGATTCAAAGAATCTTCAAGAGACTGGCAGCAAAATATTCAGTACAGATTGTCCAGTAAAAATGAACTGTGAAACTGTCTTCATATCTAGACTTTCTGCAACTGAAAACAAACGGTGGAGAGAGATAAGCTCTCAGAAATCAGTTGGAGGCCTATGGGTGTCCAAGCTACATCCTTGAGTTCAGCCATGGGACCTCGGACGCTCTTCCAGCCGCACCGTCACACCTCGTCTGTGCTCCCTCTCACAACGGCCCACTGGCTGGCGTGCAGTTTAACAGCTACAGTTTTGTAAGAAGGCCTTTTCAAAGCATTTCATTTGTATAAGGGGTGGGAGCACCTGGTGAGGCCCACTGAGGTACTATGTACAGAAATGTTACATAATGGATTCAGTCTGCTTGGTTACCTCATTTTTCCCCAATAACTTGCCATTTTTCCTGATGCATTAATTAATTTATTTATTTAAAGATCTTATCCGCTCATTTGGAGAGAAAGAAAGAGTGCACACGCCCATGCACATGAGTTGGGGGAAGGGCAGAAGGCGATGGAAAAGGAGAGAGACCCTCTACCAGACTTTTTGCTGAATACGGAACAGAAAACTAAGAGCTGGACACCCAACCGACTGAGCCACCCAGACGCCCCCTAATGTAGTACAGTTCAGAAAATCAGAAATAAAAGAAGTTAAGGCATGCTAGCAACAAACTCAGTTGTAAGTAAAGCCAGCAAAAACACAATTCCAGAAAAATACAGGTCTGGAGCTATTTAAAAGAGGGGGAAATAATTTTTTTTTTTTTTTTGAGGGGGAAATAATTTATGACAACCTTAAATTACCAAGGAAAATCCAAAATGTCCTATTATATTCTAAGAGAGTACAAAAGCGTATGGCTTATTTAATACTTTCACCAAAATAAATAAAACAAATGTCAGTTCTTTCTGAGATCATCTTCTGGAATATTTATTTTACAAGATATGTTCTCTTCTCTGGGAGTGCCAGAAAATTAGGAGGCCTGTAATAAAAAAAGAGCTCCCTAATCTTCACCCAGAGTAAGGATAACATAGGCTTATACGGAAGAAACATGACTTTGAATTTCCCACCAATTTTATAAACCATAAAGCCACCCGAGAAGTAAAAGGTACACATTACTTGACAGTACTGTTGCACGGCTGCTTGTGAAATCTGACATGCTGAATTAAAGTTACCTGAAACTTAGGAATGGATCTTGTCACATTCAATATACATATTCTAGGGTTTACTCTAGGAATCTGGATGATTTTGACAATACCCCCAAAATCCTGTTAGAGCAAATACTAAGAAACTATGACCTATACTTTCTAAAGTATATAATGAAATTATGTAATTAGGACAATTTGGGACAAGATTCATGTTTGATAAAAGAGAACAGTACTTTTCTCTGTTCACGTTGTACCACACAGATTTTTTTTACCTTTAACTATTTGAAATGTTTGCAAAAAGCAAAATGCTCTAATAATGAATGGTGATAAATATACAATAAAACATACAGTCATAAAAAAGATCTGAAGCTTTAAAAACAGGTACAACCTTGACTTTAGATTATCAACAGTCTTTTTTTAATCATCAAAATCATCTATGGCTTTTTTGGAAAGGGTTAGGTAAGAAATCTACTTCCCCAGGTTACCAATCCTTTCATCATGGCACAAAATCATAGGGCTTCACTAACATTTATTACTATGGTTTCAATTCTATTTTGGGAGTAAAACTCTTGCAAGTCTGACATTAATGACTAATGCCATCCTTGTTTTAGATCACATTTTTAAAACGAGTAATGCACTTCAGTTCCTAAGGTGCGTTGTATATTTTCATTTCAAAAACACCCACAAACTAAAATAGATATTTAAAATCTTTATTGTTTCATCATCAAAAGTTTTCTTTCCATAGAAGAATGGCAATGCAGGATCAGTGCATGTTCTATGGAAAAGTCATACCTCAAACAACTAACTAGAAGTCAGAGACAGCACTATGTTGAGCTAGTGCGCAGGATGGAAGACACAATGCTGCCAGTGCAATCAGTATACAGAAAGAATATACAGCTATTAGAAAAAGAGTCTATGGCCAAGTGAATAAAACAGTAGCAGTGCACTGCACTGATATTCTAGAACAGAAAATGGGGGGAGGGGCAGAGGATGTATTTCCCGCAAAAAAAAAAAAAACAAAACACACACACACAAACAAACAAACAAAAACAAACAAAAAAGCAATCAAGTAGATCCCAGGCACTGGGTTCCCAACCGCATGACTGGCTACGTCACGCATACTTGTACCTTCTCTTTAGGTCTCAGTCATTGTAACACTGCAAGTCGTGTCCAGCCTACTGTCTAAGTGGGATGGCCACACACAGATCCTTCGTTCTGCTTCCCATCTCACAGCTAAAGTCACAACTTGGGTCTGGCAGTAAAACCTGTGGCCTTCGCGCATCTTTCATAAGAAGCTAAACAAACCCAAAATCTGTTCCCATTTTCTTGAGAAATAAACTTTATAAAACAACAAAAGGTAGCTGTCATGATCACTCAGTTTTGTCTGAAGGCAAAATCATCTTCCTGTCATTAACCTGAACAAATATACAAATATCCTCAACAACATATTGTCAGACCAACTCGAACATTTTCATAACTAGATCTCGAAAAAGGTACTGATAATTGTTGAGATGTAAATAACCACTACGATTTGATCATGCCTGGTTACCAGGGATTTTTTTGGTCAGGTTTGTGTTTGAAGCTGCTATACAGCTGGATTTGGCTACTTTGCATTAATTCACACAATAAATGCCATTTAAAAGGAAACAGCGTATCTATCATGATGAAATAAAAATCCAAAAAAGTTGAGAGGTATACAGGAAACTTATCTTAAATATTTTTAAACTACATATGATATAACCTTAGAGAATAAGAACTACAATTACCATGGTCTAAATCTTAAATTGTTAATGCATCACTTCTCTGCAAGAGTAACAAGTCACTTGTTAATCACGTCAAGGCCTTGAGGGACAAGGGGCGCTCGGCATGTATGGCATAGCGATTACTTTCCAAGTGAGATAAATACCTCTAATTTAAAGTGTTATTAAACTATATTTGAAAAGTTATTTTACTTAATATATACAATGTATAAAATTAAGTTAAAAGGAGGAAGCAGGGAAAGGTTTTTCTGGTCTAGATGACGCAAACATACAACTTTCCCTTATCAGTAGTATAGTTCCATATGTCCATTTCGCCCATGGTAAAATAGGAAAGGCTGATAGAAGATCAAACGTTTCACTTATAGATAGAAAGAGGATTCAAAAAGTGGAATTTCAACGTCATTTCTTCCCACAATGCAACTCACTCTACTTTATAATAAACATAAATAAAAACCATCTCAAAAACCTGGTTTTACACGCTTACCTTTAAGTTTAACAATAAATTCTTCCAACAACTGAGAAGAAAAGCACTCCTTTGCAGCAATTCCATAAAATAATTTTCAATTCACAAAACACCTGCTTCCTGGCAAAACCAGCAACCCTTACGGAGGGCACAGGTGTTAACACTTGGGCCCTCTGAGGTATAAATGCAGCTATATTTGCACTGAGTATACAGTCTCTAAGGTATGCCAACAGTCTGCATGTTTGCATAATATTGGGAGTGATGTCATCCTGACTGATTGAAACTTTTTTGAACTTTTTGCAATGGAGGTTAAATAATTTTAAGATAAAAGATGTCCTTTAGCCCAGTAATAGCCAGCAGAAAATTTCTAACCAATGCAAATGGTTGTTACATTTGAAAAATGCTTCACATTGCATACTGATTAAAAAAAAAAAAACTAAACAGGGACACATAAGTATTTAAATTCAGCAGGACACCACAAAAAGCATACTAGAGATAAGTGTGAAATCAGTCAAGCTTTTCCAAAAAGAGAAAATCCTTTTAATCCTTCAGCAAGTCTCTGTGAAAATAGTATGCTTACAATGAAAATGAGAAGGGAGCACCTAGGATACCCCCAAGAGGCTTGCTGTACCACTCAGCATTCCTGCCCCAGCTCGTGTGTGCGCGGATGGGCCAACAAACGACAAGAAGTCCACTTGACAATAGTTCAGTAATTCCTTTCACCACTGCTGCCAGCTGAAGTCATCATTGCTTCCAAAGACCAAGAAAAAGCCCAGTATAGTTGCAAAGATGACTGTGTTTCCTGTGAGAACAAGTGCACAAGCTCCCCACTCAATCTAGGGAAATAAGATAGATAAACACTTCGTTAACAGACGCATGAAAAACAAAAGGAGAATGAAAAGCAAATGAAGACTCTAGTTGTAAGCCAGTCACGCTCTAGAACAAATACAATTTGTAATAATAACTTTCACTCTACTGCACACTTAATGGTCTTTCAATACTGTTTTTAATTTGCTTCCTTCAAAAAGACAGAAAGTCACGAAGATGATAATTATTCAACAGTCAGACTTCTGGACTCTGAGGAGGCAGCACAGACTTCTACAACTTTCTATTTATAAAGCAATTCGCTCCAACTCTTCTTCAGTGAATCTAAAATTGTATCTAGAGAGCAGATTAAAGTACTGAAGAAGAAACCATACTCATGTACATTTTTTTACAGGGGTGAGGGGGAGAACCGCCCTCTGCATATGGAAGGGTGGCCAGCCTCTGGCTTCTCCACCTCCTCAGTGTTGGAGGAGTGACTCTGACCGGTGAGTCTGGGAAGACAAGTATATGGAGCCCAGCGCCCCTTCTCCTCTTCTATCCTTTCCCGCCTGCAAAGAACACAAGGTCTCCTCAGGCCTGTGGCCTGTGGTTGGTAAGCACTGGGTGAGCTGATGCGCCCGGTTCTGAGTGTGAGGTACTGGGGAGCCAGCTGCTACCACAGACCCCAGCCACGCTCTCCGGTATCATTTGTATTAGTTAACAGTAAAAGTAAGATTATCTCTATCCTCTAGGATCTTATGTCCCTCATCCCGTTTTCATATCATTTCACAAAATCTTTTCCTGAGACAATTTTAATACAGTCTAGTGTAAAATCGTTGACAGAAGAATATATCCACTTACCAGATGTGCTCTGGCAAATACGATAGGGAGCCCAAAAGCTGAGACAACAATGCCTGTTGTAAGAAATATGGCAAGTTCCTTACAAGCGTTACTCATAGCATCTGTATCATCCACTAATCTTCTCGCTATGCAGTATGGAATAGGTGAAAGGATGTAAAAAAACAGAACAAAGAGAGGCCAGTATTGGCTAGAAAAAAAAAATAAGTTAATGTAGTTTTCACTACCTATGTCATTTTCCTAGACAATAATATATGCTTTTTAAAAAACCAGGCCAGACAAATATTACAAGGTACAAAACATGATACAGTTTAAAAATAAACAATAACCTGAACACTGAAAAGAGAAACATTTAAAGTCACAGTATTTCTAAAGTCAACTATGACACAATGATTAAATATTTCTTATATTAAAAGAAAATGCTTTATAAATTAAAGCATTTGGAATCAAGGCCCAAAATTAAAAACATTTTTTATTTTAGGTTATAAATAAAGAGGCATATGAAAAATAGAAATATTAACACCGTCATTTTTTAAATTCAAGATTCATTGCTCCTGACTCCTAATGAATGACAGCCTTCTTAGGGTAAAGCTGGAACATCCCCAAACTCCCGTTAGGTCACTGTGAACTCCCCAGATACTGAAGTCAAAATGTAGAAAACAAACTGAAAGTAATACTGAAGACTTTCAGTCAGAATATAGGAAATAAATGGTTTTTAATGTACAGTCTAACTATTGTTCTGTGCCAATGTCACTTCCTGGTTGGATACTACAGCTATGGTTATGTAAGACAGGGCAACTGGGGGAAGCCTGTGTGAAGGGTTCAGGGGACCTCTCTGTACTATTTTTGCAGCTTCTTGAGAGCACACAATCATTTCAACATAAAAAGTTAAAAAAACACAAAAGCACAAAAAGTGAAAACTCCAAGCTAACATATCTCCCCTGCTTTCTCTTTCCGTTCTCCTAATAACCTTCTTGTGGATCCTTCTGTATTTCCAGACAGATAAATTTTAACAACATGAACCATTGCACTTTTCTATTTAACAATGTACTGTGAACACCTTGAGATATGAGCACTTAGAACTCCTCCTCATTCTTCTGAACACTGCCTGCTACTTCCACTGATGGACATTCCAGAGTTTAACCGTTTCTCCTTTGACAGGCCTCTAGGATGCCTCCAGGTGTTTGTTTGCTGTTATAAACAAGGCTGCTGAGAATATCCATACTCTTCCCTCACTACACATATCTTGGCCAACACCTGCCAGTAGATTTATATGAGAAATTCTAAGTGGAAGGACTAGTTCAAGGAATATATACATTTCGAGAGCCACAAGCAAACTGGCCTCCAAGACGACTGCCCATAGCTATTCCTCACCCCACTGCACAGGACAGTGCCTGTCCGCCCATAGCTTTCATCTCTGCCAAAGGACTTCATTTAATTTTGAGAGAGGCTGAGTATAATTTCATGTGATTAGTAATTTGCAGTTCTTTTTTGGTATCTGTTGTGCAGTTCTCTATTTAGTTGCCTGTATTTTTCTTACTAACCTATCCTTTTGATTTTTATTTATTTTTTTTAACAGGTCTTTGTTTTTTAAAGATTTATTTATTTATTTGACAGAGAGAGAGAGAGAGATCACAAGTAGGCAGAGAGACAGGCAGAGAGAGAGGAGGAAGCAGGTTCCCTGCTGAGTAGAGAGAGCCCGATGCGGGGCTCGATCCCAGGACCCTGGGATCACGACCTGAGCTCAAGGCAGAGGCCTTAACCCACTGAGCCACCCAGGCGCCCTCCTTTTGATTTTTAATATTTCTTTCTATCCCATGGAAAGTAACTGCTTACATGACTTTTTTTTCCATAGTCGACCATCTCTTGATTCTGCTTCTGGTGTTTTTTTGCTTAAAGGACATTTTACATTTCCTTGTGTTTAATTTTATCAACAGGCACTCAAAACTGAGCAGTAATACAATAACCAAAAGTGTTTTTGTACTTTGAAAAAGGTTTGTCCTTGGTAAATGAACATTGAAGCTTCCATTCAAAAAATTTTTAAAGCTTTAAAAGTAGAAAAATTTTACCCTTAAACACTCAAAAAGACAAAAATTTTACATACTTGTATATTGGAAGGGCACATCCAAGCATCAAAAACATCAGCCCGATTGCTCCTCCAAAGGACAAACTAATCAAAGCTGCAAAGTAAATAGAGTCAAACACAAGTATTAATTAAACTAAATATTATTTTTATTAATATTAGTATTAGCACTTCGAACATCACCTGTGACCCCAGAAGTAAAAAGCAAAACACAACACAAAAAACCAAATGCATTAAAAGGGAGTGATCTATCGTCTCAGAATAGGTTTTTTGTGTCGTCTTCAAGGCAAAATAAGGCAACACTGATTTTCAAAACCCTGACCCACAGTGAGCGCACCACCACATTCCCTCATGACTGGCTCTGTTTCCGGGGAGTAGCCCAGCCTGCCAGATCAAGAATGCTCTTCCAGTCCTTAGTGTTACACTTACTGCACAGATCATTACAGTCTGAAAAGGAGGATGTGGAGAAACTGCGCATTCTTAGCTTTACTGGACTTCAGAACTTTATCCTGTGGGAAAGTCTGCTTCTTGCACACACACCCCGAATGTGCTCAAAACTGGTAAGAAAACAGTGTCCAAGGACATCTGGTGTTAATAATTTTAATCAACTCATTTTGATATAGATCTCTGAATAGTTTACAAAACTATAGTTGGGTTTCCTCCCATAATTGTTTACACAGTGGATAATGTGCGGGATAATGGTACAAATCCTTCTTTGGTATCACTATTTTATATTATCACAAACAACAGATGCATTCCACAGGTAAAACATAGTTTTTAGAGTTATAAACACACATAAACAAAGCATTATATTTTGTAAAGTGTTTTGACATATACTAGTAGAAACAACTTTCTTCAATAGGCATAGTTAATCAATGGCCTAGAATTAAGCAAAGATATAAACGATCAATTTATCTGAATTCTATATAACCTGTATTTCTACAACTACAGTGGCTAAGAGAATTACTTAGGTGTTTTTTGTTTTAAATGATGCAGTCCATTAACCTTCAGAGAAATATTGAAATTCATAAGGGTTGTAGAAGGTCCAAAAGTTACCAAGAGAAAAGTTAACACATACAAACCAGAATTAACAGTAAAGGGGTCAAATCCTGCCTAGTACTACTCATAGACTTCTCTGGATTAAAATGGTCATAATCAAGGACACCAACTCACATGGTAGTTTGGTTTTCACTTAGATCGCTGATGTAGGTCATGTCGACCCTGAACGCATTTATTTATTTATTTATTTTAAAGCTTTTATTTATTTATTTGACAGACAAAGATCACAAGTAGGCAGAGAGGCAGGCAGAGAGAGGAGGAAGCAGGCTCCCAGAGGAGCAGAGAGCCCAATGCGGGGCTCGATCCCAGGACCCTGGGATCATGACCTTAGCTGAAGGCAGAGGCTTTAACCCACTGAGCCACCCAGGCGCCCCCCTGAACGCATTTATTAAGTTCTCAATGCCATTACATTTTCAGTGACAGAAAAAAGAAAAGAAATTGCACTTTTCATTTTATAGCAGATAACTTCAAGTTTACAATGGAATGCAACTGGGATGAAAATACTGAGTTTACCATTTGTTTTGCTCACAGGTCCTCAAAACCTGGCCCTGCTTACTCTCCTGACACACTCATACCAGCCTATTACCCCATCCTCTCTGCACTCAGTTACACTGCCCTTTCTTTTCCTGGAAATCGGCAGGCTCTCTCACCCACATGGCCCTTGCACATGTTGTCCCTCCTACCTCAGACACTTTTTCATTCATTCATTTCATTCAAGAAATATTTATTCAAGAAATATTTACTGGGAATCAAACTGGAGATACGTTCATAAACCAGACAAGGCCCTTCCACACACATGGAGCTTGCATTCTCATTCCATTCCCTTCCTCCTCCTGCCAAGCGAACTCCTCCATGTCCTTTAGATCTCGGCTCAATCATTTCTTCCTCCCTGAAGTTTTTTCAAACCTCCCGCTAGACCAATTCCCCCCATTACATTCATTCATTCAACAAATATCTACTGAGCACCTAATACGTGTCACACATTGTTCTTGATACCGGAGATAAAGCAACGAAACAAAATCAAAGCTCTTGCTCTCACGAGTCTTATAGTCTAGCAGGAGAACAAAATGATAAAAAACAAGCTAACAAAGTTAGTAAATGAATGTTAAGTGTTCTGAAAAAAATCAGGTACAGTAAGAGGATGGGAGCGCTATCCTAGACAGAGTGGCCTGAGAAGGCATCTCTGATGAGGTGACATCTGACCGGAGGTTTGTATGAAATGAGGGAGTGAATCATGTGGGTATCAGAGGGGAGCATTCCAGGCAGAGGGCCAGGCATGTGCAGAGCCCCCCCTGCCCCCACTATATACATCCCCTTTGCTCAGTTATCACAGCTGTAATTTTATAAGATTTAAAATTGGTTTTCCTTTTATTTATTTTTTTTAAAGATTTTATTTATTTGACAGAGAGAGAGAGAGACAGTGAGGGAACACAAGCAGGGGGAGTGGTGGGGAGGGAGAAGCAGGCTTCCCGCTGAGCAGGGAGCCGGATGAGGGGCTTGATCCCAGGACCCTGGCATCATGACCTGAGCCGAAGGCAGACACTTAATGACTGAGCCCCCCGGGCGCCTTTTTTAAATGAAGACTTTATTTATTTTAGAGAGAGAGGGAGAAAGTACGCAGGAAGGGGAGTAAGGAACAGAGGCAGGGGGGCTGCAGACTCCGTGCTGACCACAGAGCCCACAGTGGGGCTCAGTTCCATGACCCTGAGATCATGACCTGAAGCCAAATCAAGAGTCAGATACTTAGCCAACTGAGCCAGCCATGCGACTCTGTATCTATTTCCCTAATGAGCTGTCTGGTCCACCAGAGCAGGGAAAAAGTTTTTCTGTTGTTGATGCTCACATCCCAGCTCTTAACACTAACAAATATCTGTAGAATGAGTTAAAAAAAACAAAAACAAAACAAAACAAAAAAACAAGGGGAGGAAAAAAAAGGAACAGAAGGGAAGAGGAGAGGAAGATCATGCCAAAGTAGCATAGTAAAAACAGCACATAAATTAAAGTCAGGAGACAATGGGTCCCTAGCCCCTACTAGCCACTTAACTAGCTGTCTACATAATCATGTCTGAGTGTCAATTCTTTCTTCTATAAAATGAGACTAATGCAAATAATTCTCTGAACACTAAAGATACTTGTTACAAGACACACTGAAGAAGTAAACAGCCAGCTCTACTTAAAAAAATTTTTATGTAACTGTATAATTAACATACAGTATTAACATGAGTTTCAGGGAACCATCTCCACTTTTTGAATGTAAATACTCTATAGTAACAACTTATTTATTCAGAAGCCATTTATCCAGAATACAATTTAGAATCCCGGAGGAAACAAGGGTCACTAGAGCAAAATATACGTCCCAAAGCCCAGACGTTAAAGCTATCATTCTTCATAAACAGACCCCTAGGCTCTTATTCAGTCGTTATTTATTCATTTTGTGATATATTGTATGTGAATTTCAGCAGAATAAAAAAAAAAATTAGAGCCACCTATGTTCACTTATACATATTTTTGTCCATAGCAATTCACTTAGCCAGAACAAAATTAAGTGAGAAATAACTTCCCTACCCAGAAATGATCACCGTTACCTGTAACTTGTAACATGAAATTTTTAAATTTGAAGATGTTGTTTCATACATTGAAACAAATGAGAAATAGGAGGCAGAACTGCACATAAGCAAGATCTGCCCTCTGACAAGAGAAAGGAGACCGAAGAAAACAAAACAAAACAAAACAAAACAAAACACCCAACCTTAAAAGAAAACAGAAAAATCTCAAAAAGCATACCCACTTGTGGTAATCTTGGCCAAAAGAAAAGTAGCTTTAGGGCCTGATGGTCTCTGTGGGTAACTCTTTCATGACAGAGAACAATTATTTATGTTCCTATCAAAAAAGAAAATCTAAATTCTCTAAGTACACTCTTAAAAGAGTTAATAAAAGAAGATCTCTTTTTTAAAAAATTAAAAATGAAAACAAGGTAAGATTTAAGTATCAAAAAATAACTTTAAGTGATATCTTACCTCTAATCGCACTGGATTAACCCCAATGGGGTTAAACACATTGCTCAGAAGTGTTCTCAAAACTTGTAAAGTTTCTCCAGTCTTATGAAATCAGCAACGAGGCTGATTTATATACAAATTTCATCATTTGTGTATAAATGGTTGTCCCAGATGACACATCAACAAGACAAAAATTTATACTGTAATTGTGTGATGAAACATTTGGAGGGCAAAACTTAGATGAGTCTGGTTTCTACTCCCAAAGCCTCTAGGCAAGGGATGGAACAGCCCAATTACCTAAACTCTCCAGAGACAGACTGCTGATTCTGTGACTACAAAGAGATTAGCGTAGCAGGGACCAGTTCCCGAACTTGGGAGTTATCAGAAAGTCCAATATATAACCAAATAATAGGCAAATGGCTTAAGAATTAAGTAATGGTCTCCAATTATAGCAACACTGCTGCCTGATGCAGAGATAGGCCAATGAAAGAAAATGTCCTGATAAACAGTCATAACAATCAGAAAATCTCAGTGAATCCAAAAGTGTAAGTACAATTCCATCTGAGATACTTTCACCTGCTTAATATTTTCCTAAATTGAAGAAGGAAATTTCAAAGTTATTTTTTTTTTAAAGGGAGGAGATTTCTGTTGATGACACTGAAGAAATGGGGAAGGACTGCAAAACCAGCAGCATCCGTAAAAACCACAGCATTCTCCCCTAACTGCCTTTCCACACAAAGATTCAAGAAGGTCTATCACAGTTCAAAAAGAGATTAAAAATGATCTTTGTTGCTTATCTAATGACAAAGTTTTACATCAGAAATGAAGTTTTCAGACATCAAACCAGAAAACAGTAAAAATGTGACTCTGGGAAAGCAGCTCAATAAAAGTTGTCCTGAAGGAAACAAATTAAACAGGGAAAAAAAAAAAAACCACTGCTATTAAATAAAGTTCTTCACCTCCTGCTTGCCTGTCCCTTCTACAAAGCCGCAGGTCAGGAAATCAATGCAATTCGTGGCCAAAAAGTTGAAAACGCTGTCAACGGTGTTTCCTTCCAATCACAGTAACAAAACTACGAAACAATGTGAAAAAACACAACCTTCCTTCTTTCTAAAGGAAACAGACGAATAAACGAGCAATTTTCCATTAAGTTTTAACACTATTTTATTTAACAAACCCAACTAAAAGCCTCAACGCGCAACTGTGGAGAACAGGGGCACATCGGGGTCGCTTACAGGGTCTAACCCTATCTGACAAACACCACAAATCAAAACGCATCCGTTTTCGAAGGCTGTAAAGCTTGGAGGACTGGTCCTGAGAGGGATGGCCACTCTCATGTGATGACCAAGGTTTCTGAAAGAACCGTCCCTAAGTCCCTCCAGGGCGTTCCGGAGGGACTCGGTTTGGCTCAGCCCCCGAAGATCGCACTAGTGCCTCTAAGAGGGAAAGGACACTGATTTCCGTAACGGGCATCTCTAGGGCCCTCAAGCCCCTCAAGATCACTCTGCTCGCCTGTCTCTCGGATGCAAACTCCTGCAGAACATGTGTGCTGGCCCGAGGCGCTGCGGGACTCTCGCAGACCATGGACCACTTCGTTCTCTTTACGGGGGCCGATGGGTGGGAGACAGGCTGCCGAGATCAGCAGAAAGCAGGGGCTGACGGAGAAGCCGCCCGCCCCGCGGGCCCACCCCGGAGCGCCGCGCCCGGCTGGGCTCTCAGACTGCGAGGGCTGAGGCGGGGGTCGAGGGGCGGGAGGCAGCCGCCAGCGCAGGGACCTCCGTGGCGGGCGCCCGGGCCGGGGAGGCGGCGTGCGGGGGCTGCCAGGGACCCCTCCCCCTCTCTCGAGCGGCCACCCAGCCCTCCGGCGCCCGGCGCCCCAGGCCCACCTTTGATGCCGGCCATGGCGGTGACGTCGCTCCTGGCTCCGGGACCCTAGGCGGCAGCGGGGGCGGCGGCGGCGGCGGCGGCCCGGAGACCGGAGACGCGCGGCGGCGGCGGCGGCCAGACAACACCCGGAAGTGCGCGACGCAGCACTTCCGCCGGCGACTCGCGCTCGCGCGGGGGCGCGGGGGGCGCGCCGGCCTAGGGCGGTGGGGCCGACCCCTTTTTTCCCTGCCATGCGGCTGTGCAGATCGCCGCCCTCGCAGGTTTGGCGTTCTCGCCTCAGTTCGGTTCCCATTTTCCCCTCAGGCTCGGGGAAGCTCCACTCCCGACCCCCCATCGCGGATCCTGCAACCTCCTACATTCTTGGAAGATAAGGGAGCGGAGTACCGCCGTCCTTTGGGAGGCCTGCTCTGATGTCTTTGGAGGATGGTATTATGGTCTCTAAAGCGCACCCTTTGCTAGCTCCTCCCCAGCCTTCTAGTAGAAGTCAGGCCAGTTAGGTCGTTGGTTTCCGACCCAACTAGGGTTCTGGTCAGTGCCACCTCCAGAGATAAGGAGCTGCGGGACCCAGTAAATACAAAATAAACATTTTAACACAAATCCGACCTCCCAGGAGTCTCAGAATCGCAGGGTTTTGTTTTGTTTTTGTTTTTTTTTATTTTGTTTTGTAGTCCAGGGCTAGGGGAATAAAAAGGAGGAAGCAGAGGGACAAATATATTTACTTAATGTTATGCCCCAATAATGGGTCCGTGATTAAAGGAGCGAGGCTGTTACAAAGCGAAGGTCAAGCAAAGCTTTATTTAGCACCAAGCATCAAGAATCTAACCGAATGTTCGCGGCCGCACCTCTTACAAGACAGGGCGACCCTTCTCTGTTGCACTGTCTAGCTTTTAAGGGCAAAGGCCATGCGGTCGGGCCTGGCCACGCACAGGTGGCCAATGAGATTGTAACACACACAGGAAACTCCACAGTGATGCTAGGTGACCAATTGAGTTATAATTTACCCTAGTAGACATTTGACCCAGCCTATTACACCTTGATTGGGATTGGAGCCCAAAAGGCTCCCAAAGGGCGGGGCCCATACTCCTTGGTAACCAGGGAGACAGTATGCATCCCCCCACTGATCAGATGTCTCTACCTGGCCTGACCCCCTTTGTATCTGGGCTTTGTTACCTGAAGCTGGTTCCGGGGACTTGTCTCCAAGTAAATCCCCTGGGGGAAGGGGAGCAGGGACAGTTTCTAAATAGGTCCTTACACTTAAGTCATCCTTCAAATGTATTCAAGATTTACTATGTTTGGGGAATAGGGCTAGATACTGGGGTGATAAAAAATGAGGTGCGGTTTTGGGGCGCCTGGGTGGCTCAGTGGGTTAAAGCCTCTGCCTTCAGCTCAGGTCATGGTCTCAGAGTCCTGGGATTGAGCTCTCCTTCGGGCTCTCTGCTCAGCAGGGAGCCAGCTTCCCCCTCTATCTCTGCCTGCCTCTCTGCCTACTTGTGATCTCTGTCAAATAATATCTTTAAAAAAAGAAAAACTAGGTGTGGTTTCTTTCCTGAAGGAGCTTGCAGTTTGGTGAGATACAGGCACACACACACAAAAATATAAAATTGTAACAGCGATAATTGCTAGGAAGATGGGTAGGTAGTCCTTGACAGGCTTTGATTTATACCAGAGAGATTTCCCCAAGGGAGGGACAACGGAAGGATGAAGACGTGTGGAAGTAGAAGACAAAAGAGAAAAACCATTATGAGGAAGAGAGATTGTGTTGGGGGTGGAGGTGGGGGAAGTGGTTGGATGGTGAGCTTGGGAAGCAAACTGGGCCCCAGGAGCTTGGTCTGTTGGGAGAGAGGAGAGAAAGCGAGTGGGATTGCTCCGGGCTAGGGTAGGTTAGCAGAGTCCTATATTATATTTTTTAACCCCCTCCCGAGTAATGAGAATCTTTCAAAGGGTTTTAAAAAGATACAGGTGGAGGTGCTTGACATAAGATTTGAATTTTTCAATCTTTTCAGTCAGCAGATTAAAATAAACTGGCATGTAAAACTTTGTCGAATGGTTAGATGTTTCCAAAATACTTGAAAATGAGAGGTACTGAGAGCTGAAAGTATTGTCCTACCCTGCTTCTCTCCATTACTTTCAGGGTTGAATTATAATTTTTTTAAAAAGCAAGTCACTTGAGGCTTAATGTCCCCAATAAATCTATAGATATTTTGTGGAGGAGTAGAATTTTTTTCTGTTCAAGTTAGTGCAAAAAATTCTGATGTCTTCTGAATCATGAAGAGTTTCCATTTAAGGACCGTAGTAGTGAAAACACAAGGCGAATTTGAACATATGCTAGAGAAATGTTGCTGTTTAAGATGGTCTGTGAACCACTGGCTCCTTTCTTTAAAATGAAGCAGATGTATGCATCCTCCTCCCCAACCAACTCGAAAGGAGTAGGTGAAATTCTTGGAAAAGTAGATGATTCTGTGACTCCACAAATAGTCACCACTAACACCTTTCTTGTTTTGTTCCACAGTATTTATCCTTGAAACCAGGATGGTTGAGGGAACCTAACAGAAATAACTGATCATTGGTGGTGGTACTGGTGGTGGTGAAAGTGATAGGTTCTTATCTCATAGACTCATAGCTTGGCTCCTGGGGGTGAGGAGGGGAAATCACATTTTAGGAAGCCTTTTGGAGCTTCCACAAGTCCCTATAGCTGAGTTATGTGCTAGTCCTCAAATTTCTTCTTGTGAATACAAATGGGCTGGACACTGCGGAACTTTCGTGGGCAGAGCCCAGGAATCAGAAATTTTATCAAGCACCCTGAAGACTTCCTATTCAAACGAGAGCTTGACAATAATTGTCTGAAAAAGGTAGGATGTCAGGAATTACCTTCATTAGTTTGCCAAGTGATTCCTAAGCATTAGTTACTGTTATATCCTTTAAATGTCCTCTAAGTATTCTTACAAAATAGTTAGTGTTACCTTATGTAGTTTCGAAACTTATTCAGATAGCTTCTTATCTTCCAAAGTTAACTCACAAAGATGGGGATGGGGTGGGAGGAAGAGAGCTGTTGTTTATTGAGCAGCTGGTATGTGTCTAGTGCTTTAAACATCTCATTTCATCCTCTCCACTGTTTTGTAAATTTGGAATTACTAACTCTTACGGATCAAGTCAGAGAAACTTTAGGGAAGCTTTTAGCTTTAGTTATTTTTTCCAAAAAGTTATTATGGAAAAATTAAATACGTGAAAAGGAGTCAGGACAGTATCATGAATTCCCAGGTACCATCAACTACCTTCAAAACTTAACACACGTTCAATGGTGTTTTGTCTATACTTCTCGTCCTCTTTCCCCCACCTCCCATATTATTTTCCCCCAAATTATTTTGAAGAAAATTCCAGACATAATTTCTTCTCTAATATTTTACTATGTTTCTAAAAGAACCATTAAAAATAACATAACCATAGTACATTTATGAAACCTAAAAAACAGTTCTTTAACATAATATATTTAGTCAGTGTTCAAATTTCCAATTGTCTCATAAATGTCATTTACTTTCTAGTTTGTTGGAATCAGGACCCGAATCAGGTCCACACATTCCTATTAATGTGCCTCAGAGATGATTTAAGAAGCTGCCTCTTGTTATTTAGAGCTCAGCTCAAATGGTAGTTTCCAGAACCCTTCATGGACATCCCATTTATCATAGCACTTAACTTTATATTATGCTGTTTTCTTCCTCATTTTAAAAAATTGAAGTATAGGGGCAGCGGGGTGGCTCAGTCAGTTAAGCAACCGACTCTTGGTTTCAGTTCAGGTCATGATCTCAGGGTCGTGGGATAGAGCCCTGCGTGGGCTCTCCCTCTGCTTCTCCCCTTACCCCACCACCATAGTGCTCCCTCACTCTCATAAATAAATAAATACGATCTCTAGAAATTGAAATATAATTAACATACAGTGTTATATTAGTTTCAAGTATACAACATATTGATTTAACAATTCTATACATTAGTCAGTGGTCACCATAAGCGTAGTGACTCTGCCACCAAACAACATTATTACAATATTATTGACTATATTCCTTAAGCTATATTTTTCATCTCTGTGACTTTTTTATTACTGGAAACCTCTTAATCCCCTTTATTTCACCCATCCCTCCAGTCACTGCCCCTCTGGCAACCATCAGTTTATTCTTCGTATTTAAGAATCTGGTTGTATATGTGTGTGTATTACTCTGTTTTGTTCTTGAATGGGCTTATTATTTATCTGAACTATATTATTTGTTGGCTGTCTATCCCACCAGAATGTAAGTTAGTATAACCTTTGATGTTTTGTTCACCACTGTCTAAAACTGGCAAATGATGTGATCTTAAATTACAGCAATTCTCTTGTTATGGTAGTTAATGACCTCTACATTGCCAATTCCAAAGGCGGCTTTTGGATTCAACGTTTCAACAACAGTGGACACTGTTGACCATTCTCTTTCTCTCAAGCACTATATCGCTTCCTTCCTGGCTTTTATCATACCTCGCCAGAGGTTACTTTTCAGACTCCTTCCAAGATCTTCTGCCCAGAATTCAAATAATAGCGTTCTCTTAGTTTAGTTCTGGGCCTCCTTCGTTGCTGGATCTAAATTCTCTCCCTATGCATTGTACCTTTTCCTGTGGCATTAAATAACGTCTTCATTTTGATAATATAACTACCAAGTTTACTTTAGCTTTGAAATACAGACTTGTATATCCAAGTGTCTGTTGGACATGAGTATCTGGACTATTAGTCACTGCAAACTTAACAGGTGGAGAACAGAATTTTCTATTATCTTTCTTCCCATTTCGCTTGGTCCCTCTCCAAGCCCCCACTGCTCAGCTTCCTCTTTTTCTGCTTTTCCCCTAATTTGCCTTGCTTCAGTTATATTGGACTTGATTGCCTCTCCTACCCCCTGAATTTTGTTTTACTCACTACTGTATCCCCAGTGCCTAGAACAGTGCCTAGCAGGTACTGTTAGCTACTGGTGGATGCTCGTTATATATATAGTTATTGGCTGAATTGATGAATGACTGTTCCTCAAAACACATGACCAAGACTTGTGCACCCACTGTTCCCCAAGCTGTGGAGGATCTTCCCCTGACTTTTGTATGGCTGGTTCTTTCTCATTCAGGTGT